GAAGATGTGAGAGCGGACGACAGAAATAGTCTCTCATCTCCTCCGAACTGCAGTAGGAGGATAAACGAAGACGATGAGAAGGCGGTTTGTCTCCAGGAGGTGCTTATTAACCCTAAACTGCACACATGCAGTGGTTTCCAGTCAAAATATATTGACTTCAACATATCTGCTTAAGGCGATAGCGACACGGTAAACTACTGACTAGGTATCACCCGAGACGCAAATAATGAATTAATTGTTATCAAATTCAGAAACGCCGACAAAGCCACACAAACACTGTCGCAGCTGAGGTGAGAGGGTGCACATTCGTACGGATATGGATCCAGGAGATCAAGAGAGCCTCAGGTGTGTCATCACGGAACTAAAGCCGCGAACCGGTGAGGGAGAACAAATCTACTGCTTGCAAATTCTCGGGTGCTAAAAAACAAATGCGCATTCGTCCACTCTTCATGGACACCCGGTAGATCATACCGCGGCAGGTGTGTAGCGTTTGCCAGTCTGCAGTCTTATGAAAAAGTGTGATAAACTGTGCTGCTTCGTTGCGTCTGAACGACCAGACGTGGTGGGACTCGCAGAGACGTGGTTGACTACTAGTGAGTTAATCTCAGTACCATATGTTGCTGATTGGAATGGCTGCCGTATCTGCGGACCACATAAATCGACTCGTTTTTACTCACGGGTAATTTCAGGTATCCTCGAACATGCTGGTCAGAAGTTGTACTTAATCCAGGATACTGTGAGATTGAAGCAAAGGGTGCCGAAATGGTACTTGAAGTTGAGGCAGCAGAACACATTTGCCAACCGACACGCTCAACTGTGTCGTTTCTAGACTTGAGGTTAACAAGCAGTGAATAACATGTGTATGACGTTCAGAGCATAGAGCACTTGGCAGAAAGCGACCACTCAAATCTCCTCGTCAACACGGAGCTGCTGTTGAAGGATTCCCATGCACTAGAGCCAGCTAATAACTTTAGGAAAAGAGATTACAACAGCGTGAGTTGAGCTGCGAACTAAGCAGATTGATCTCTACGTCTGTTGTTTACCTGATCATCCGCGAACCGTCTTCAGTGTAAATAGGCGAAATGCAAATATCTTGACATACGCCATCAGCATACCCATGAGTATCGAGTTAGGAACAACGACTGCCACATGCTACAGATGAAGGCGATCTCGGACTGATTGTACAGGATGACTGTGGCTACCCGAAACAGGCCGAAAAAGCATTGAAAAGAGCTAGTCTGCACTTTGGAAATCCTGCGGGGGGCGTTAGAGATATCTAATCGCATATGCTGAACGCCAAAGTGAGACCACAAGTAGAATATGTTATGCAAGCCTGGCGTAAACATTATGTTGATGCGTTTAAAGCTTAACAACGTGCAGCGATCAAAATTGTTGGGGACTGTATCACCTCACATACCAACTCAAACTGAAAGCACTTAGCTTATACAGCGGCGAATATCGGCGTCTTCGAAGATACCATCTCATGGTGCACCTAATACTGGCGAGCCCCAATCACGCTTGTTGCTATCTCCTGCAATTCAGCCACAGTATTAACCTGAGAGGCCACCAGGTCAAACTCGCCACACGCTATAGCTGACTTGAATGCAGACAAAATTAATTCTCCGGCCGGCGGCCGTAAGGATTACACACTTGCCTTGTAACGTGGAGGTCACCGGTTCAAAGCTAGGCGACCTCGCGATGTACCCAGTCCATGCGTGACTGATGGTAGTCGCGTTGCAACGAGGCGTAGATACAGAGTGCCGGTGACGCCTTCCAATACGTCATTTGTAGTTTTACATTAATGCTTTTCAAAAGACACCTTGAAATCACGCTATCCCTAGCGGTGCGGAAACCTGCATCTGTGTTTCTGCGAATGGCTTGATGAATCCCATTAAAAGCCGAATTTCTCCCTTTTTATCATTTCCCCCTTGGTATTGTAATTCTTACTCCTATCATTCTATAAAACCTGACAAGCACCTGCTATTGTAAAGATTATAAAACATTATGACAGGCTGAAGCCCGCAGACCATAAATGAACTACTGTGTAACGGGTTTGTGCATCTCAAATGTCAGACCGGTTAAGCCAAGCTGGTTCGACAAGAGACATGGCAAACTGGCTAAGTGGCGGAAAGCCCCGTGGGACGAATCGCTCCACTTTGGCGCAGTCGAAGATGGTGAGAAAAAGAACAAGCATCGGTATTTCGAAAAGCAGATTGCAACCACCGCAAAGACCGAGTGAAAAATTTGCATTTAGGTCAAATCGCGAATGAAGACGATAGGTGATATACCAGTGACGGAGCGTTCGGACAGACAGCCACTGACCTACAGCGCTGAACGTGTGTCCGCATCGGCCTTTTGCTTCTGCGTTTGCAGATGACCAGGTGTGTACCGAGTTCGAGGTATATATATATATATATATATATATATATATATATATATATATATATATATATATATATATATATAATCACAATCAAGGAAACAGATAGTGTACCGTCAGAATAATGCAGGAATGAGAAAACAGGACACGAATAGAAAGAAAAAGAACGTGCAACCTTTTCGCTAGTTTTCAACGTGCAGTTTTTGAGTTATTTTTATTGGTTGCTTTATTGGGGAAGGGAAATCCCCACAACATATAGAGATACACGTCCGCCACTGACGTCTGGTCTGAGCCATGATTTCCAGGGCCTCCAACCAGCGACACTCTGTATCTCTGAAATCCCAACCAGGGAGTCAAGAACAACGGACAGAGGCCAATTGTCTCGTCAGCTTTTTCATGTGGCATCTTCATGTTGTAGGTTGTCCACCGCGCCGTCCCCTCCAGTCCTGTCCAACAACCGCGAACAATGCCCGACACGAAAGACGATGAGCGGGCATGCGCAGTATGTGTCCAAGCTACCGCAGCTGACACAGCGGGACAAGCTCCTCAAGCAAGTGACTGCCTCTAACAAAGACACGCTGTCTAAATTACACTTCGGTTACGAGGTGCGGCCACTAAACACCAGCAATGGACCGCAAGCAACGGTGCTCAAAGAGAGATACAGCGCAGGACAAGGGTGAAAAAATTGATATGTCAGCTGTACGCCATAACGGCGCTTCGCTGCCGAGCGGCCACTACCAGTCACGCGCGGGTTGTGTATACCGCGAGTACGTAAAGCAAAACGAGGATCAGAACCGGTGCTGCGTGCCTGGTTGCAAGCAGGCACGCAGACCATTCGGTCAAGTCTAGCAACGGAACAACAGTACAACGCGGACAGTCGCACAATAAACCCGTTTTTTGATGGATCGACGGATGCCATGGCGGCGCCACAAGTGTCTCTGCTTAAAGAAAGCGGGGCGAGCTCTTGAGGTACGCATCGAAATCTCGTCACCAACAGCTCCACCGACTGTGAGGCAACCTCCTAGGTAGGCAAAACTCTCCGTAAACTCCATCGTCTCAGCACCAAGAGTGAGTGCATGTACAGGCGTCTGAGCCTTGGAAAGAGCTTTGCTCTTGGACTGGAAAAACGCATCCCATACTTAGAGGCTTCAATCGCAAAGCGACTAAGTGCAAGTTGGAGAGCCTGTGAACCGTCACCCAGCAAGACGATATCATCAGCGTAGTTAAGGTATACAACTCGGTTACCTGGAAGGAGCTCAATGCCAGCGATCAACGAATTATCCATAGCATTCTTTAGGACGTCCTCAATAGTAAGATTGAAAAAGAATGAGGAGATAGGACATGCCTGTCGAACTTCACTCACTGGTGACAACAAAGGAAGGGGAAAACTTGCCATAAGCCCTAACTCTATCCGAGGTCAGACTATACATAGCACGCAGTACGGAAACGAACTTCGCGGGGACGCCATTCCTCAACAAATAGTGCCACAATGCAGCCCTGTCGACAGGACCGAAGGCAGCGAGGATATCAAGGAACAAGATAATCGTTGGCTTATAGTGCACATGGCGGAGCTAAAGGATCTGGGGGAGTGTGAAGATTTGATCGATGTAGCCGCGAACAGGGCGGAACCCAGCCTGTTCTTCCCGCTGTAACGATCTGCGCGTTGGAGATAGCTTTCGAAGTATTATGGACACCAGAACCTTACAAACGACGGGAACCAAGTTGCTTCTCAACTCCCTAGCGATCATGATCGTGCCTGCCGTAAATGACCTGTTCAACAGGTCGCTGTCCGAAGGCTCAAGACCGATTGATTGGAAATACTCAGTGGAAAAGCCGATTCCGGAAGGCAGTGATACCAGTAAAGTGGAGAACCAAAGGCCAATTAGTTTGACACCTATTTTGGCCAAGGTTGCCGAGAAGATTGCGAAGAAAAATCTGCTACAGCTGTTTTGGTTAATAAATTTGAAGCCGGCCCAGCCCAGTTTCATGCCAGGTCGATCACACATAACCAACGTGCTCGTAACGAGGGAAACCACGAACAAGAGTAAGTTTGATGACATGATCTACAGCGATTTCAGCAAAGCGTTCGAGAAGGTGAACCATGATATCCCCCTTCTCAAGCTGAGAGTGTGCGACGTTAGCGACTCACTGCACAAGTTGATCCGCGAGTTTCTCCTTAAACATAAACATAGTCAGTGGAGCATTTAAAAGCATTACTGGATAAACACTTTTCCAATATTAGATAGCGACAACAAGTAACTACTGAAATATCACAATTATGAGTCTCAAGTGCGATAATCGCTAACAAGCGATTGATCACTGGGCCTTGACTTCTGATTCTTCCTTTGGTTGGGCTAGAGGTCATATGGAGCAATTATGCTTATTTCGAAATTGCAACAAGTAGGAGGAGTTAAACACTGTTACTGCGTGTAGTACGTTTGTTTTGTGACATCAAGTGAGAACTCGAAAAAATACAATCAGTGTTGACAGGTCGTAGATACTTTTTAGTCTTTGTTCAAATTTCAATGGAGCTGTACAGATTTAAATTTTCACCTGCTCCCATAATACAGTATTCCGTAAAGTAGGGTCAATGCAACAGTATCAAGGGAGCAAGACTCACGATGGGATGTGATGGACCTCGGTGAACCAACAGGCTTTTCGTTCACAAGTGAAGCACTACGGTCATCGACAGTGGTCGAGGCGGCTGGAGGGGGCAATCTATCAGCTTGAGGAGCGCCTGTTGCTGAAGCATTCGATATCCACCGTGAAGAGAAAGACAAAGCTGACCAAGCCAGATTACCAAGAGCAGCGGCAGCAGCTGCACGACCCGATTTGATCTCCGTGCCTGCAGCGTGGGGTGCTTGGGATGCAGTATCCTTCGACTGAGGATTCTCACTGTTCTATAAAGCGAGGGAAGGGGGAAGATCCGAAGTGGTTGCGAATGGGTAAGAGTTTACACGAATACGCTGACCACGGACGGACATCTGTTAAGCCAAGTAAACTGAAAAATTGGGTGAATTATTCTACTGGAAAAATTTCCGGTAGCACATGCGGATGGAAGTGTATGTGAAGCTTGCAGATCGACCACTATGATGCGGGAGTTTAATGACTATTTCTATCACCAGCATCCATCATCATCATCCTCCTCCTCATCATCATCACCATCATCCTCATCTTCCACGTCCTCACCATCATCCTCATCATCAGCATCACAAAGAGCTGACTGTCGTGCAAAGATAAGGCAGCATCGGTGAGACAACTTCCTTGCGGCCTTCACTGCCCCGCGTCACAATCAGCCATTTCCCCCGCAGTTAAATCAGAACCAAACACAATCTAAACACGAAGTCCAACTAGGAGACGATAAAACACGCACTGTGAATCATGCAGTGTAAAGTCTCAAGCTAAGCACACTACAGATCATGTGGAATTCAGCCTGGAAGGCGAGCCAGACCGACGGCATTGAGTTTGCTCGTCAGTGACTTCACCTCCCGCTGCCATTTTAACTTTTCCCCACCTAGAGCCTTGTGCCACCCTATATCTGACAGACTAAACAAGGCTCTCCTCGGTAAGCGGTGAGCAGGCATACGTAGTACGTGCCCAAGCTAATGCAACTTATTCAGTGCTATCTGTTGTTCTAAAGAACTAGCTTGGGTATCATTGCATAGTACTCGCCTACGCACATCATCGTTGCGGACACCATGGTGCCATCCGACACCAGCAATGCTTCGCAGACAACGATGATCAAAGATTTGGAGGTGCATCAGATCTTCGGACCAAACGGGACTCGCACTCTCATAGAGTAAGACGACTTATACCGTGGCATTGTAAACACGGCCTTTCAGACGGAGGGAAACCCCTTTCAGTCGCCAAAGATGTCGCAGGTTCAAGAAGGCAGTTCAGGCTAATGTAATGCGTGAACTGACTTCAGTTTCTATGCACCAATCGTTGCTGATGCAGCTGCCAAAGTAAGTGAATTGATCAACCACCTCGGGTTCCTCGTTAGCAAGGGTCAAGGGGTCTTGAGGTGACTGTCGGTCCTGCAGAAACACTTTGCACTTTGAGAGTGCGAAGCGCACACCAAATAATGGGACCACTCTAGACAGGCTATTCAGGGTTGATTGCGCCGCCCCAACATCATTAACCAGGAACACAATATCGTCCGCATAATCAAGATCAACTAATCTTTCGCCAGGTGACAACTCAACGTTTGCATCGTGAGATTCCTCAAGCGAACACTCCATGATGGAGTTAACGACCAAATTGAGCAAAAATGGGGCAATGGACAACTCTGAGGAACGCCACCTATGGTCAGAAAGCTATCGGACAAGTCATTGTAGATCCTGAGGCGGCCTGTAGTGTTCGAGTATAGAGCACAAAAATGTTCACATAGTTCAGGGAACACCTTTCCACGCAAGTATTTCGAACAGAATGCATCGATCGACTGAATCGGACGGACGCTTGAAATTGAGGAGCAAATTTTTTGTCGGCCTGCAGTATGCGTGGCGCTGCTCTTGCCCCTGGCGCAAAGGGAATATATGGTCTCTACAACCACGTCCTAGACGAAAAACTGCTTGCTATTCCCTAATCCGAGATTCCCGTTCCATAGTGAGGCGACGAACGAGAATTCAGGCCAATAACTTTGTCACAGCTGGTGTTCAGTTAATAGCCCTGTGGTTAGCACAGGGTGCGACTACCCTTCTTGTATATTGCCACTATAATCAATTCACTCCAGTTAGTCAGGACAGTCTCTTCCTTCCATACATATTCGATCCGTGAGGTCAGTGCTATGCAGAGGACCTCACGTCCATCCTTAAATAGTGTAGATGGCAGGGAATCCGGGCCAGCGGCATGAAAACGATTGAGTGCTGTGATCGCGCTACGGACCTCAGCCTCCGATAGTCTCTGAAGTAACCGTAGATGGCTCATCCTGCATCAGCTGAGTAGAAGGAGGTCTGGAATCAGAGGGCCTACTGAACAGATCTTGAAAGTGTTCCGCCCAGCGGACCATACGGCGCTCCTTATTGTGAATCAGAGCACCCGCACTGTCTCTGACACTTGGTTTCCTGGGACAAGTAGTCTGGATCAGCTGGAAGAGTTTGCGATAGTTCCCTACTGCTTCTGTCTCCATCATTTCTTGAACGTTAATAATCCACCAGGCTTCGTTGACAGCGCGCAAGCTCCGCTTTAGTTCATGTCTAATAGTCCATTTGGTTATATTGTGCTCAGAGCTAGCCGGGTAATTGCTTCTGGATTTCAACTGCTTCAACGACCTCTCGTTATCGAGTGACTGGTGCGGTGACGATTGATAGTACCATAAACAGATGCTTCTGCGTCCTGAATGGCGACCGTAATCCTATTCCACTGAAGCTCAGTGTCATTAGGAGAAGGGAGCGGAAGTTCGGTATGCAGTGAATCTTGATAGGTTTTCCTGACCGGGGGCCGAGATAATTTCGCAGTTGCCAATCGGAGGAGACGTTTGGTGCGCAAGCTGGTAAAGTTCATGGAAAAACGACAGCGTACCAAGGCATGATCAGAGTCTATGCAGGTACTCTAGAACCAGCGGCAATCCAGTATGGAAATATGCTACCTGGTGCTCCGCACACAGCTGTAACAAACGCTCACCGCTGTCTGTCCGTTCGGAGTTAAGTCCATACTTACCACCTAGCAAAGCCTCTGAAGAGCCCAGCAAGTATTATGATCTCTGAACTGGTAGCACTGTGTAGCTGCGTGTTCAGTTCGTGGTAGTATGTGCCTTAGACGGCATTAGAACTGCAGTCAATGGGAGCATAAGCGGAAATCACAAACAAACAGCGTCTTGTACTAGTTGGTGAATCAACCTTGGTCGTTGTCGTCAAACGGGCTGCGTACAAACAACTGTTTACCAGAATCCAATCAACCAACGATGATTTAGCCTTGGAGCTGAGAACAATGCTCATTCCAGCTTCACCAGAGGCTGCCGCATCAGTGTCTCCGGATGCGTGCAACAATAGCGAGAGGACAAACCGGGCGCAGTTAATTCAACAACTCCATGAGGGGCATTGATCCTAGTTTCGGATACGCAACACACGTCAATATCCAGTGTATCCAACGTGCGTGCGACTGCAGCCTGTTGACCTGTTTGTCTTAGAGTACGAACATTGAATGTCGCCATGGAAACGAGATAGCGTGGCCTTATAAGGGACGGCTGCCGATTGGCGTCCAGCGAGTGGTGCGGGAAGGTAGCTGCAGATGATTCCAATCCAGTGGTATTACGGGTGCTGTCAAGTAAGTTGGGAACTATAGAAGGTAGGTTAGTACTTGGGGATTGGGAGGGGAGTAAGAGAAACTGGTTGAAAAGAAAGAAGGGAAACGCTAGCAGTAGCATGTTTTCGCTTATCCACTTTGCTGTATGTAGCAGATAAGGAGACCCTTGATAAGCTGCGCGACGGTCGATGTATGATGTAGTTAACGTGTGAAGAACTTGTCATGGTTGTATATGGGCTGTGATATTGCCAGGTGGCCCAGACCAAGACAGGAGGACGATTAGCGTCCTCAACCAAAGCAATTGGCTCAAAATTCTGTTCGCAAGGCAGCGCGGAGGTGGCAATGATTTAGTTTTACAGAAATGGACGCCATCCTATTTCAAACACACAACCTGGAAGATCAGGAGACTGAGTTTGTCTGACTTCTAACCATCGACAAACCTGGTAGGAGCTCTCAAGGGGCCCGGGGGCACCATTCAGTACAGCTCAATGGGTCAAAGAAGTACGCAAACCGTCGCACCATGTTAAGGTCCAGTCTCGCTGCCACATTCCTAAGGACATTCTACTTATCTATCTGAATAAAAACAAGTGTTTGCAACCGGAACCCAATCTGGCAGTTAACATCAATCTCCTAATATGGATGGGACATTGTACAAGAGAGTGCCACAAGAGTGCGACCAGACCCAAGAGTTCCCATGTGTTGTTGTCGAAAGAAAGTGGGAGATGCATTATGGCAAACCTAGCGGAAAAGAATAATCTGCAAAGCGTGGAAATTGGAGTTGGAATATGGCACAAGCGACAAATTGATGGAGACGAGTGAATAAGTTGCACGGTTGGGGAGAACCAGAGTTGCCATGAGTAAGAAATGAGTGGTAAACAATATGACAGCAATTATAAAAGATGAGCACACGATAACTAACCTGTTGCAATTTGTCAAGAATCGATCGAATCGCACGGAATGCGTCCTCTCGAATAGACTTCTCAGGATCGACTGTCAAGAAAGATAGGCACGGCATCACCTTGCTTGCTAGCTGATCAACGGTGTACAGCTCCTACGGTGAAAGAAAAGCGAGTAGATGCGGGAGAAAAGATGCGCGATCAGATACATGTCCAGTAACTTAGTAGGCGCGACACATGAGTCGTGGTGATTGTCACGCAAAAATCGAGCGGTGTCACAGTTTCAACAATAAGCAGGTGCGAAAAAGAGTCCAAGTTGAGAACATGCGATCTCGTCCACAACACCGATGACGACGGATGTAATGGAATGGCGTAGGAGGATAATAAGGGTTATAGTAAAGTGATAGTGAAGATACTAAAACCAGAGAAATACTGAATTCTTGGCCGTTTTGGCTATTGTTAATAGGTGGCGCACTACATGAACAAGGGGAAGCTGGCGAAAGGGGCTGTCGGACTGGCAAGACTCTGGTTGGTTCGTACCAAAAGGTTAAAAGTATGAGCTCGGCTCCCTTATTAACTGTAACAAGGGGTAGGTTATCGGGGCAATCGGGGATTAGTAGCACGGATAGCCATGATGTTGAAAAGGATATTCACAAAACCTTAACACGACAGACAGTAATATAAAATGGTCAAATGTGAGCCAGCAGATCGATGGTGCACTCAGGTCATGCAGCAACAGATAGAAACGTCAAATGCTTCACTGGTGCGAATGCACCCATAGTTGACGGGATGAAATGAACACGTGTAGGTGAAGCTACTGGTGATGGGTGATTCACAAAATGGATGTGATGTACCTGTGAAGCGGCCAATGCGGCCAAAGCAGCCTTGCGGCAGGGGACAAATGGGTCTCGTGTGGAACGGAGGAACGCATTCAACAGTGCACCTTGTTGCACTTGCACAGAGAATTGGGAAGCTAATTTAGCTAAACACACAGTGGCGTTAGTTCTGATTCCGCCTTGACTATCCTTAGTCTGAGGAAAGGGAGAAACAAATAGGATATAAGACGCGATTAGTTATTGTTGGTAAAAAAAGTTATCAGATAATGAATAACTGAGACAAAGTAAATGAACCTTGCACCGAAATAGTCAAAGGCCACTGGGATTTTGCTTAAATTTGATTTGGGCGCTGCTGTGGGTAGACAAAAGGAACAATATGGGAAAGTATTCAGATGGCGCATCGCAAATGAAGTGAAAAATGTCATCAGTTTGATGAGATCAATGCACTCCAGTTTGGGACGGACAAGTTAGTTGCTGCGAGCAATCGGTTACGGGATCAAATCTTTGGTCTAATGAGCTTTGATTGATTTGGCAGTCAGTAGGATCTGTGGTAGAAAGTAATATGGTAAACATAGTAGTCGAAAGAATTCCGGCCAGAAGCAATATATACTTGTATTTATGTGAAACAGCATAATTATGGTTGAATATTAAGGGAAGCGTCTTCAGGTGATGGGGGCTCGGCTACGGAAAATAGATGATAAAACGGACACGACGGTTGGCGATTTAATTGCTCCGTAAAAATATAGGTTCACAGTTCTGAAATTTAATTCCACAGTGTAAGCTACGATAAAACACGGTGCACGTAGCGAAAGTGGACCAACGAGTAATTGCAGAGTTAATGAGACCTGCTGAACCTGAAGAAAGGGACGGGGAATTATGAAGAACCTAGTGATTCTTTACGGTATGAATTTAAGTAGAATATCGGGGCAAAACGAAAGAATGCAGTGCGAGTTGAGCGTCGCAGATAGAGGAAGTCTACAGATCCCGACAACTGAACAACTAAGGAATGAAGCAACATGACAAGTATCCGAAAATACGTGAAACCGTAACCTAACAAACCAGATGACAGAGTGCATGTGCCTATGAAGTCGATAAAAGTCAACGGATTGCATCCGCCGTCAACCAACGGTGGTACCCTATAAATTATGCCCATTCAAATATAAAAAGGTGATTAGGAAAAGTGTTATCTCGATAAGTCTAGTCAGGGAAACACAATTCAGAAATACATACACATTGAAACAGAAGCTATGTATAGCGATGTAGCGGCCTAACGTGTAAGCTTTGATCGAAGGCACAGTTGCTATCATCACCAAGTTAAATCCACTTCCGTAGACCACTATGCCTGAAGCCAGCTAACCAGGATTGGGCCAGGTAAGATTAAAGTTCGCACAATTACACCGTTTCGGCAGTAATCGCTTGATTGTAATTGATCCAACCGTGATCAATAGGCGCTTTCTGAGTAGTACGGATGCTTCACTTCTGTGCACCAATAATAATAATCATCATCATCATCATCATACACGTTAGCTAGAGGTGGGGAACACCTCAGCTACTGTGCTGCAATACACAGAAAAAAGAAAAAAGAACTCAACCGGGGCAAGTCGGCTGAGCTACCGGTAACGGATGGGCATTGTTCCGGTAAGCTACCAGCCAGCTACTATGCGCAAAAAAACTATCCAAAATTATATAAGGTTAAATAATGAGATTGTGGTTGGTGGGGGAGGCTAAGAGGGATGGGGTGGGACAAAGAAACACACAGCACGAACGCCAATGAGGTCGGCTCCTAGCCATATCAGCAAGTGCGTCCAACCAAACGTGTTCATCGTCTTTCGGACCCCAACCAGGGAGCCGAGACGCTCCAATCGAGGCCAGTTCAGAAGTGAGGGCCTTCATTCCTCTGGACCAAGTCATCACTTGGCCACCTCTCCTCTTCTTCCATCCACCCCCGGCGCGCAAACATCGCACGTCGCGGGAGTCGGTAGGCTGGCATGCGTAAAACGTGGCCGAGCCATCGGAGCCTGTTGCGTGAAATAACGGTGCTGAGCGGTTCAGTTCCTTTTCCTGTGCCATAAACAAGGCGTCGGACACGCTCGTTGCTCACGCGGTATTCCCACCAGATGTGAGCTAAATTACGAAGGCACCGGTAGTCGAACGTAACTAGCCTCTTCAGGTCCGCTGCTTCAAGCGGCCAGGTTTCACAACCGTATATTAAGGTCGAACGTACTGCTGCATTGTACACTCTACCCTTCAGGGCAAGAGTGATGTCACGCCGCCACCATAAGTGGCGAAGATTAGCAAAAGCGCCCCGAGCTTTTGCTATACGGTTCGTGATCTCATCTTCGATCCCAAGGGCGCTGATACAACTTCGCAGGTAGTTGAATTTTTGAACGACTTATAGCTGAGTGCACCAATAAGCGTCCAAGTAATTGGGGAATGAGAAGAAAGGCGGGGGGACTTTGTGCGAAGATTACAGGCATGCAGTATCGCGGGATGTCGAGTGAGAGTAGGGTGGACTCATCAGGTGAAATAACCGCATGTGAGTTGTAGTTGTTAGCCTGGTGAAAGCCGCATGCGTCAACTTCTAGGATAGTCAGCGTGTGTGTGTGTGTGCAAAGATAATCTCAGTCGGGGGACGAACGGTGAGCGCCGACACAGAATTATGGCAACGTAGTTTGATGGGGGGGGGTTTGATGACAAGTGAATGTGGAATAGAATGGCGCAATGAATAAAAATGTTTAACCTCCGTGGACCTCCGTGGGGAACAACGAAGGAAGGCTGGTAACGGTGATCTGGAGGAGTATAAGGGAAGAGAATCTTACATTATTTCGGATCGCAATTACCAGTTCTCCGCAACCTAGGGTAGAATTTAAGCATTCCGAACAAAATGATACATTAAACGCAAGGCCCCTAAAAGACGGTACAGACTGAATTTAAAAGCTACGGCACAATAGCTGAGGTGTTTCCCACATCTGATTAACGTGGATAGTGATGATGAGTTCCAAATGCCGGTCGCACTGAAGGATCAGATTCGGTTAATCGGTTCAAGTAGCGCATTGGTGGTAGAAACAGTAGGGTAAAGCTAGGCGTTTCGACTAACCAAAGTCGCGTTGCTTGTACCAGAGAATAAGCCAGCGCCTTCAGTACTTCTATGTTACTTAACAGCTCTTGTATTTCCTCACGAAAAGGATCGAAAATAAAGAAGAGGAAGAAAAAGAAAGGAAGTGTCCAGCCTATCGTACGTAGCGGATAGACTGACTGAAACTGCGCAATGGCTGAGGCAGAATTTGGCCGATGATTCAGGAGAAGACTATGAGTGTACGCGGATTGCGAAGGCACTCCAATTAGAAAGTACGATCAGATCCATTGAATAAAAGCGTGATGATGTAGTGGAAGAATGACAACGGCCCAATAAGGTCAACTCCTTCGATAGAAATGAGTGTCACCCGGTTCCCAGCCCCAACCTGGAGACATTCAATCACACGTCTAGTCACTGGTAAATTCGGTAAGGAGTACTCCATAAAACCCAAGAGCACAGTCAAACATAGTATAGTGAATCGGATGGGTATGCTACACTGAGGTCTAGGTCCTCAATAAGTTACTTGCTATGAACGCTCAACCTGTGAACCGGATGTTGTTCCGTGGAGTGAACAGGAAACAACATAAGTGTCTTCATTCTAGCAAATACTGATGTGTTGAATGGCGCCATACGCCGTAACTGTGTAGTATGCTAGCAATTAGACGACAACAAAAATGCCCAAACACAAAGAGTGACATATGTTTTCATTGGTTTCGTGCGCATGAAAACAAAGCCGGAAAACAAAAGCGACCGAGACGCCAGACAAATAGGTGACTAAGCAGAGTTACGAGGGGCATTGAAGACAGGCGGATCACAATAGTAATGACTCACCAGCCTATTCCACCTGTGGTTACTTCTTGTCCGATTAGGGAACCTGGTGAATTCATCGCCTACTATCGACAACACAATCAAGTAGAAGAGACTTGGTCGAGTTATGAGAAAGTGATCAAAACATAGTGCGCAAGCAAATTTACACAAGCGCTGCCGACTCGCATTGCACAATTTCCGCGAACAAACTGGTGATGATGGGTGGGTCGTTTAAGTCAAACCGAAACGATTTACCGGATTCGAAAATTAATCCAAAGGTGAAAGTAATGCACGCACTGGGAAATGGTAGCTGCGTCTCATCATCGCTTAGAGCCGCTACATTCTCATACACTATTCAATATCAAGCTATTGAAGATGACAGTCAAGGTGAGCTTAGATTTAAGATGACGCGTTGTGGTGAAATTTCTAGTGAAAAAGGGCATAAAACCAACTTAAATTTACACAATATTTCGGTCACGATATGACGAAGGACACTCAGTTGCAATAAGATATTTGGATGGCACAAATGCCTCAGAGTCTGCCATTCACGATCCTGATCGATGGGTTCCGAAACAGCTATCAACTTCTGAATGAGACAGACGAATTGAAGTATGCACTGAATTGCAGAACCGTTATGACATGGATCGGATCATTGCGTCTTCGGAATAGTCCTGAATTGGAGGCAAGTGATTTACACGAGCTTGGGATCTTAAAAGAATTCCATGAAGATCGGAATTTCCACAGTGAGAATGAAATGAAGCAGACTTATAAACTGGTTCGGGCGTACGGACAAACTTTGTTTGCTGAGACCCTCCAAGCATTGAGGAGACATGGGGGTATGTGTATAACCATGACAGAGAGATATATTGAAGAACAAATACAAGGGACACATTCTGAAAGTGATGAATTTTCTTCATTCCGGGGGAACTCACAGTTCTTCACAGAACCGATCGAGCTGCGCCCACGACGAAGTGTGCATTTCGGTTTCGTGACCGCTTAGATACTCACACAGAGCCACGGCTAACTCGACGTGCACTGTACTAACGTGACAAACACTGACACACAGGTGCAAAATTACCTAGTGAACTGCAGCACAAATATGAAAGTGTAGAACTGATGTTCGTCATTAGGATGTGTTTGTTAATGTGCTCTTGCCCTGGTTCGCGGTTCAGTTGTTGGGTTCGCGTTCGACTCGACTGCGCGTTCCCAGTGACGTTATGGTCTTCATCACCACAATAACAGATCCGGATTCCGTTCGGCTACACTATGCACGGGAAGGCGTAAGATACGGCCGTTTGGTTAGTTTGAATGTAGTATTACAAGTGACCTATTATGTACCGTGGTTGCTTTCTGAAATTAACGAACTCGCATGCCAATAGAGTAACCCTCATGTGACATCATTGACCCAGTTATCAGTATCCAGCCGCTTGACCTTCTGTCCTAAGATCGGATGCATTTCCGAACTATACCCAAGAAGTCCCCATTAATTTTTGGGTCTACTGGTTACGCAATGCAAGGTCAGTGCCTAGTTTGGACGAAGTTTCTGTGTCGAACGCTCCCAACATGGTGCGTTACGGGTTCGTCCTTATTTGGTCACCTCAGGTAGATATAGCTGGAGATGGGATGGGCGATAAAAACACAGTGACTGCTAGCAGATGGCCACCAAACTGCATTGTGCATAAACACTGCGTTCCGAATAAGTGTCCTAGCCTGGACGACAGTTGCCTGAGCAGTCCAAACGAAGCTGAACCCGGAAGTAGAGTGTAGCGAACCAAACAAGTGACGCTTATCATTTAACCTCCGGAGAGCTACAAACACCGAACTGACTGAGGTAGACATCGATGTGATTTGAGGTCCAAAACGACATTGCATGCCGGAATCCATTCGCAAAACGAGCACCCGAAAGCTTCGTATTCGATTTAGCGGCATTTCGGACACGAAGAAAACCGAATGCAATGCATCTGATCCCTTAATTATTTGTAACAATCTTGCGTGAAAAAAAACGGGCAAGCATTGTTCCCATTTCTATCGCATGATGGTGGTCCAAGACAGCTAGATCAAGAAGGAATGTCCTCTGGAGATAAAGGTAACCCTCATGGAACAGTTATAATGAGAAAGTTCGCGCGGCCGATGAGCAGTTTCGAATGACGAATCCGCTGCAACAATGATTCCGGATGAATACAGCGTTCGTTTCCCTTGTTGTGCATACCTACTATAATCAGCTGTGTGAACAGCCGTAATACCAGGCATAAGAAGACAAACACTAATGAGGTCAATCCGAGTTGATATCGCTTCACGCCAAGCATAAATTCTTTTCTAGGCGGTCTCAAGCAAATGACCTAAGCTTTTGTAGTATCAAAGATGTGTGCACTAGAAGGACAGGGAAGAAATGACTTAGGCCTACTGAAGTATATAGAGAAACGGCACTTATCTACCTAGAAAGCGAAGCGATTGGACGGATGCGACTCCTTGATCACATTGGCGCCTAACCCACTGCTTAGTACGGAGCCCACACGGTTAAAGCATCTGTTGCATCATCGGAACGGTTGGCCATGTAATCAAAAAATCTGTCAAAATCATTGCGGGCAGTAAAGGGAAGTGGGAAAATGTCAACGACGGGTCGACGAATCGGATTTGTTTTGAAACGACGAGTAACTGAATGTACCGGACTGCTCCTATGCAGTTGTCGGGATAACCGCTGCAGCAGATGACCAACTTGGAGATCGGGGAAATTACGAAAAGATACTGCGTTATGTAGTTAGCAATTCCAATGATGAAGCTTGTCACACTTTTCAGAAACACTGTGTAATCATCGATAGCCTTATCAAACAGCGACCGGAGTGGAGTTATATGCACTTCCAATACTCGAGAAACATTGCTCGAATTTATGTCCTACTGGATACTTGTGCGCCCAGTATCCCGGCTTTCAGTCAAAGAAGGAGTAGCCTATCCGATAAGCCGTTGAAAGCTGAAGCACAGCGGCGCCATGAGTCAGGTCTAGCCAACATACTTAAGGCGTCTGCGCCCCGTGGCAGTCAGCTTCTAGGGTCTTGAGATTCAGGAACTGATGCGAATGCATTCGCCAGGATTTGCCGTTTGACTTTCAGGATGCAGTGCGATTTGTGACGGAAGGATGCGGACAAAGCATGTCTATGCAACGTAGTCGAATAACAGCGAAGATTGACAGTCAGCATGAGGAGAATGAACACTAAACGGATGAGAAAAACGGACTAATTCACTCACCTGGACTCCAATAAGGTAGCGCGGCAAAGAGTCGTTGAGCAGCTTGCTAGACAACTTGGGCGCCAAATGAACCATCGCTCTTACGGTGGCCTCACGGACGATAGGATTGGCATCAGAGAATCCGGCAGCAACAGGAGTGTAGATTTGTGCTTCAACCACTTTCATTGGCAAATTAGTGACAAAGTTTGGAAGCTGTTCCAGCAACCGGACTCGAGTAGCTCGTTCAGGAGAAGTGAATAATTTGACAAGACACGGCAGCACGTCGGCCTCGAACTCCGACGGGGACAACAAAGGAAGAAGACGGAGTGCGGGAATCAGGGCTTCCACACCAGCAGACCCATACCGCAAATCATTGAGAAGGTGAGGCATGATCTTATGACGACACACATCATCTGGAAAACTGCCAACCAAATCCGGCAGTGAAGCAAGGAATCGGGTTTTCTCCTGAAATTGCATGTAGTATGGGGGAAACCGCTAAATGTCATGGACTACAAGAACTATCTAAGAATGCTTCACTACCCTCTACGGGCTAATCAGTGTATGGCTCGAATAACGTAAATTTTGAATCCTCTCGCAAAGTTATTTTTGCGTAGACTATAATTAGTAAAGCAGCCGTGGTTGACTAGTCTAATTATGAAAAGCAGCGTCTAGGTTACCTACAGTAATATCATTTTAGCGAAGTTCGGCAGAAACACCTAGGTATGACTAAGTTTCGTTATTCGATTCGCAGTTCATGTGTCAGAGGTAGATGAGAAAAGTGTATCTGAGCGCTTCGGAAGCAATAAGGTACAGCAAAGTTCTAGGAGCTCTGACAGCTTTTGGTGTCATTAGACTGTCATGTTGCAATGATGTTGAAGTTAAGAGGCGAAATGTTCTGCAGCACGCAGCGGTTCTGTATATGAAGTGAACACGCAGAAATAGGACAGCTGGTCTTTTACTGACTTCTGCGGAGTGACCAGTGAAGGAGCACAGATGAGCCCCAACATTGGTGTATCGTTGCCAAAAATTCAGTTGTTATGCTGGGCCAGATGCTTCCATCTTTCCGAGTTATGCATACGTGCTCAAAAGTATCCTGTGCATGTGGGCTGACGAACCGGGATGCACCAAACTCGTTATCACCTGGCATGCGACCACACATCGTTTGAAATTGTTTACAATGTCGTTTAGTATGTGTAACCCCAACCGTTGTGATACCTTCTATTTTTCCAAATGTTCTCGATGAGCTGGTGCTTTGGTCCTCATCCCGATCCGTGATTTCGAACCCTTTGTAATGTCGTGACTTAACATGCATGTTTCTGCGAGCTGACAAGTCACAAGTTGTTTCAGATAACACTTCTCAATTGGCAGTGAATGATTGGTTCACACCCAAAACGTCAAGTATTAAATTTTTGGGGGGTCTTTTTATCCCGAAACTCATCTTGGTCTATTCACGTTGCCGAAACCTTAGACGGTTGTCATTTTAAGTTATTTGACTTAAAGTACTTTCATTACCCTGTGATTTAATTCTTAGATTTGCGACTGCATGTATACCGCCACGTTGACACTACTGTTCCTCTGTGCTCTTCCCTGGGTTACACAAAAAGGACTATACATTAATTTCGTGGTCTATAAAGCTGATTTGCAGATGCAGCGGATCGTCCAGAGAGTCCCTTGTAGATTTTATTGTCAACAATCACCTAGACGCTTGTACCAAGTTTGTTCCAAAATCCTAAACGACCCTCTACAGCCACCACATTGTGAGCTAACAAAATGATAATCTATTTCCTCAACCCGATCTAAACTAAAGATACTGTTTTCACGTACGATATAACTGCCTCTTGGTTACGCAACGCTGACGATCTGGTATCAACTCTCCTAGTCGGCAGAACGAGCGTGGCTTGGAACTATTTCACGCACGACAAAGTAACCAACAAAAGTTGAAGTGATACGACCCGTGAGACTTAGGCGCAACACTGTTACTACGCGCGAGTTGAACGGGCTCCTAGACCGAGCGCAATTTCATACACAGCTACCCAAACCCGAGAGAACAAGACAAAAGGACAGGTTTTTCGCGTAGGCACTTTCACCGGTCAGGCTCAAGTCGATTGTAGTGCAGTCCAGCGTTTCTTTTATACCTCGATGGTGGCAATGGTTTGCGTAAGCAAACTCACGAAACAACTGAATTGGCATTATGCAAATATGCCAACGAAACATGTTGAAAAGTGAATGTTGGTAGATGCGGAGGCTGGACTGGAAAACAGAATGTTTCTTAGGTAAAAAAAAGCCGGAATGTCTTATGATTGCAAAGGCTGGCCGGAAACAGGAATGTTTTCTGAGGTACAAAGGCCAATGAAAACGCGAATGTCTCACGAGTTGGAAGGCTGATCGAAACATGTGCACTTGTCTGAACCGAGTCTCATTGCCTTCCGTGGTTTAAGCTTGCGGTCACTGTGAAGACGTTGGATCTCTATAACAACGTACTACATCGTACCGCAATTCTGTGCTACCGTACCTGTCCCGCTTGCTTGTTGACCCAAGCAAAGCTATCAGTATGATGCAAAATCATTTGCCCGAGTGATAAGTGTAGACATTTTTACGCGCTTTATTTTTTATGTAACAGTAATTTCATATACATTACCATCCGCAACGATAGCGTAACATGCTGAAAATACACCTACCCGGGTACATAAAGCCTACTTTGAGTTAATTTGAATTGCAGGTATGATAATAATGTGCATGGATTGTAGTGAAATCGGTATCGTAGTTATAACGAGAACGAGGATTTGGATCAAGTGACTATGGCGCGCTTGGTAACTCTTCATTACTTATTCATGTTTTCTAATGGCTTTAAGCACAAACTATCGCATATTAAAAAATCAGTGCATGTAGGAAGAACGCTTACTCAGTCTGAGACGCGAAATTAATAACAAGATTTCACAATGTACAATTGCACAACTGGATGACTAGAATCAAACATGCACAGGCGATGCGATTCATAAAGCAGAAAGAAGATGCTCTACGAACGGGCCGCGAAATAGAGAAACTAGGTACAAGTTATCGTCTTACGACAAGCAACTACTCTTCCTCTTCCACGGGATTAGTGGATGAACCTTGTAAACCGTTCAGTAAGTCACTTGCCATCGGCGATGCTTTGTTCGCTGTTCTATGATTTTTGTAGCAGAACCCATATCTGAGTGCCCACAATGGCCTATGCAATAACGAAATTGCTCCCAACAGTATTCAGCAGGTAATGATAACCATCAAACCAATTTACAGGTTGGACTCATACGGCATTCCTTCAAATGCCACTAAAATGGGAGGGCCCGACTAACAATTAAGTTTATTGGATATGTTCATTCTATCGTTAAAAATCGGTTATTTTCCTGCTCAGCAGAAAACCTGGTACATCATTTCCCACTAGAAAACGGTTCCAAACAAAAGATTGCTAATTACTAACCGACTCGTCATACTCCAACAATCGACTTTCTCTTTGAAAGAGTAATTAATAAAACTTTGATGGAATTCTTTGATTCATTAAGCCTGCTTAACACATTTCAACATGGTTTCCTAGGCAGACGTTCCTGCGCGACCTGTCAGCTACACTGCATTAATTACACTTCAGAATACAGAGAATAGTTTTGTCATCATAGTTTTAAGTTACATGGCCTCCTACTTAACAATCGATTTCAAATAATAACTTTAGATGACAACCACTCTTCCCAACACCTATTCACCAGCGATGTCACTTAGAGAAGTGTACTTTGCACATTGCTATTTCTCATTTTTATCAACGATATTAGCAAGTTCATCACAAATGGCCAACTATTTTTATTTGCTTTTTACGTCAAAATTGCTTATAAGCTCCGGCACGATGAGATCCAGAACTAATTACTGCTTATTCAAGTTGACAATCGCTACTTTGAGGAATGGTCCGACACATGGTTGATAAAATTATCCTCTGGCAAATCAAGCATTATGTCCTACGGTTGCTCGATCCCCAAAGCGTCAGTCAAACTCCGCAACAAAAGTATGCACATACGGCAGTCCACGCGCAAGCTTCGAATCTGATATTCTTCCAATTTCCGCTTTTCTGTACAAGCCGAATAGCAAATAGCCCGTGTCAGACAATGCATGACACACAGGTTACAAAATACATACAGTGCTCGTTAAACTCAGGTTATTTAAAATGCCAACTCGCCCCATTCTTGAATGCTGCAACTACGCCTGTGGAAATATGCGGAGGATTCACAGGAAAGTCATGAAAAATGTACGATGGTCAGTCACCGTTGAGAGCAGCTTTGAGTTTTTGGCCCAACAAGCTAGGCCGAAGCGCCTCCAGGTTCCAGAAAAGCTTTGCTGTTTGCCCCGTCCAAACTAACCCGCACGAAGTCCCGCAGTTACCAGCAGTCCAGTTACACCTGACACGAATATTTCCCCTGTATTGTATCCTACAGGCACGGATGTCCCGGTGCGTGAAGGAATGTGTCCTGAAGACAGGTGGAAGATATAAAGGAAAGAAAAGGCAGAAAAACGAAGAGTTCAGCTGCTTCGAATAAATAGCAGCCCAGACTGAGACTGGAGAAAATCCTCGACCTGTAAGGTCAACCTAGGGCGACCAGAGGCGTTTTAACCTTGAGATCGTTCACGTGCCGCAGTCCAGTGATCCAATTCCCCAGATAAGGTACGATCATGAGGTCGAGCTTTTACAGACTCTAATTGATAGACTTCTCGATGTGGAGGAGGACGGGTTGAAAGTGGGACAAATTACCCGTCTTGGAAAGAAAGGTGATCAACAAAATCGATCAATGAAAATCACCTTTGCGGCTGATCTTGTGCCGATTAAAAAGGTTAGAAGGTCTACAACTCCATGTGCGTCCAGATCTGGATCCGGGGAATCGAGAACAACTCAAGTCTGGTCGTTTCCGAGATTCCATGATGCAGGATAAACAGGCTGCTCACGCTTCAAGTACGCCCGGTGGTTCCTGTTGCGGCCTGCGTGTGGCCTTTACCAACATTTGTAGTCTTATGATCAAGCGCGATGAACTGTCTTTTGGTTGTATCTGAGCGGTCAGACCTAGTGAGACTCGCAAAAACGTGACTGAATGCTGAAGTGATAGCCGAGGAAGGGTGGTGATGGTCAAATTTACACCACAGACAGCCAACTGCTACATCTCACACCTTCGCGCTACGATCTGAATTCCATGGACAACGAACAAGCTATATCGTAACGGGCTGCGCATGCTTTGGGCGATCAAACGCATCTTCCGCACATGGTCTGCGGAGATCGCCACTGGCCTCTTCTCTTCCATCATATGACTGATATTGGAGTACGACTCACCTGCCTATTACCCAATCACCTGAAGCGAGGCGCAGAAGATCGAACGGGTCCAACAGGTCGCCATCAGGCTCAATCCAAGTTTATGAGAATCATAGTACGAAAACTGGTGCGAGAAACTAGAACTCTACATCTTGTCCTGTCATTTGGTGCGTGTCGATGTCATCATGACCGGAGGTGACTTCCCCATTTTGGGGCCGCTGCTTCACTTGCGAACGCTATGCAACACAAGCGGACATCGGTGCAAGCTTGTGGTACCGGATCTAAAACGAGTACCCAACCCCAGGCGCTTCGAACGGAGAGTGGTAGTTTGGAACAGCCTGCCAGAACAAGTCGTGGAGGTCAAATCTGCGCAGCAGTTAAAATCTTTATTGGATTTACGCTTCACCAGCATTCGATACAGAGAACGATTACACACTGGCAACAATAGCTTACATTTGTGAACCCAGTGAAACAGTAAAGCATACATTTTAACATGCTACATAAGCACCTGCAGAACGAGTAGATTTTTAAGTGTAGCAGATACTTTGTATAACGTTTTTAATTAGATTGCGATGTAGTTGTACAGATTTAAATTTCTACCTGCTTCCACATAAAGTATTCGGTATTCGTCGAACGTTTATTCAGTGCCCTATCTACCCTTAACTAATGTGAACATAGTAAGCAATTTAAGTTCAAGCCATTCTGGCTGCCACGGTTAAAAATGCTTGATGTTCTGACACACAATGTGTGTCACATCAGAAAACGTACTCTACAGATGACGTAGTATATTCCCATGAGAAAACTATACGATAACTGTACACATCCAAGCACCCTAAGCATTTCTTCATCAAATACGTCATCCTATGTAACGGTCTGCAACCACAATCAGGGCAGATAAAAACCCTATATCATTCCGCCCCAACTCGTTTGCTTCTTTGGTCTGAACGTGGTATTATCCGTGTTCTAATCTGACACATTACCTGATGAAGTATTTCAGGACGGACCGAAACCCATTTGGAAGTGCCAAGAAAGCCGTCAAGAATCACTCACGCAACAGTATGGTCTGTAATTATTTTAGTAACAAATTTCGTACTAGGGGGAAATATGCGTTTTTTGTATTTTATTTTTCTATCCAAAATCGGCGCAGAAAACACGGATGAGTGACCCATTCAGAGGACAAAATTTAATCAGCAGATCAGGTGGGCAAGATCTCAGTAGACGTGCAATCGAGTATGTAACAGACAAATGGAGTGAACTAACCTCAGCATCTTTGAGCTGAATCTCTTCCAAAAATAACAGGGTATCTACATACTGATTAGCGAAAAATCCACCCTTTTCCCTATTGCGGGATTGCTCTAGGAATTGTGAAACGGTGGATCGTTTCTTGGTGCCTCGAATGGCGCTGGGGGCAACAAGACGGCGATATTCAGGGACCAAACATTTCGGTAAACGTTGAAGAGCATCCGGGGATGTGAGCTGGGCTCTGTCCCGTAAAGTGCAGTCTGGATTGAAAATTTCCCAAATCAGACAGCCGAGTCCCCATGCGTCTCGAAGGCGACTGTCTGGCGGTGAATAGGGATCTAAAGAGAGCGAGTTAACGTAAGTAAAGAAATCAGGAGGAATTGTAAGCACAAAGTTAATCGCAATGCTGGTTGCGCATGTATGGACATTAATCACCAAAGGCGTCAACAGTTGATCCCAGAGTAACCACCTTCAGCGGAACTAATTCAAATGAGAAAACTAGTGTCCGCTTGGAAGATAAACAGAATGGTTGTAAAAAGCATTTCAGTTTATAAACGACGAAAAGAGCGCCGTGGTGGGGTTGCAGTTACTCGCATCACCAGTGAGGAAAAGAGAGAAGTTAATTGAAAGCGTTCAGCTCGAGGTCGGCAACAAAAAGAACGAAATAATCGAATAACAGGACTGTCTGTCAGAAGCAAAAGTATTGTCAAATTTCCGCCCGCGCCAGCAATATCAGGTAGGGCTTTTTACACATCGAGACGGTCGACCCTATAGTATCCATTCAAAAGAAAACAAGAATTATAGTGGTCAAGGTATCCCGTCGGACACACCATACTTAATTTCATGCCAACACAGTCATTTTTCAACTACATCCAGTTGGGTACAGTATCGGTCAAAATAATATACACCGTAGTAGGTGGGCTAAAAGACATACGACCGAATTGTGACAAAGCCAACGTAGGGATTTACAATTTAATAGTAACAGTAAAACCTCCGAAGATGACCACCACTCAAAGGTGACCGTCTTCACAGTTGGTACGTTCACTAAGTAAACCCTATGGAAATCGCTGTGTTTCCACGCTCGTGCATTCTCCAACGGCTGGTATAAGAAACAAATTGAAAGGGATTCAGGGACGTAATACTTCTGCTAGAATATACCGTGATGGATGGAGGGTAGCAATTGAAACAAAAACTGGGAGACTTGACGGTGCCAATATTGTTTAGTGCCAACATCCGTTCGCCCGGTGGAAAAGTAGAGGAATCAGCGTGCACCGTCTCTTCCAGAGAATCTTCGCATCTAGGCATCATTATGTTGCAGGAAGAAGTGGATGATGCTATCTTATTCGTAGAGGAGTATATTTTCTATCGGGTGGACCGCCCATACACGTACCGAAACATAGGTGGTGGAGTCCTTATTAACACCAATCAATCATGGTGTATTGCAACAAAACACATTTTACTAATAAGTAGTGGGGATTTTAGTATAATTCGGAAGTAATTCATCACAGCCACTCTTAGTCAGTAGGCGTTGGCACGTCTGGAAAAATACCAGACAACACTGTTTCGACATGTTCGCTTCTGCACACCACTTAGTTGCGAAATGGATTGTGCAAATTATTGGAACCAGGTTCCGACCCCATGACTTCCGGATGCCAGCAGCTTGTGCCACCAAGCCATGGGTGACGGATTCGGAACTGCCTGTATCAACGGTTTAGTCCCATAATGCAAGGCGGTTTGAGTGGCTAACGCACAATATTGTTAGTTAACATCTGCATATCCCCCACCTGTTCCAAACTTGAAGCAGACCTTCAATGATGATTTTACAGCAGCTGTCATAGAACACATCGACAGTTCTCTATGTCACTTCAGCGTAGAGTTCAACAGATTTGATACTACTTTGCTAACCACTATCGAGTTACGGAACATAGTAAATTTACCCATCACATTGGATGCGATCATGGACCTGGTGCTCGTTAACAATGTGATGTGGTTCTCTGTAGGTAATCGGGCTCTGATTAGCAGTCTTCACTCACTCAACAAGCAAGATTTCTCCCGTAATTTACCACAAGACAAATCACCAAGATATCACTCGCTGCAATGATCGAAGGTTCAGGTGCACGCAGTGCGCTTCATAAAATAGCAACCAACTTCATGGAATGTCGGCGTCCACAGGATTTAGTTTAACATTTGACCCTGGTGCACCCAAGTATAGCGACAACTTGACTAGCTACCTGAAGTTCTGTTTTAATGTTTGCCGTCCTTGGGAAGGTCTCTACATCCGCGCACAGGTTCTCCTCCCCAGCCTGAAGCGGCTACGTCGACATACGGAGAAAATGTCCGAAGAAAAAGACGGCACCTCAGTGAGGTGTATCGCCGTTCGCATCAAGGAGGAGCTAGGCCATCTTAACCCCGTGTATATTCGGTCTATACTTGGGAACGATAGCTGTCGCGGACTCTGGCGGATGGTGAAACAGTTTAGCGGAGTTACCCTACGTGCGCTTAATAATGATGTGAATGAAGAAAAAGAGAATTAGGAATTCCGTAACTGAGCTTCCATTTGCCCTCGATCTGGGTTCTGTAGACTCATTGCATATAGTTGACAAAGTAACCGTGAAAAAGTTACTGGAATACCTGCGTATAGGTAAAGCTAGTGCTCCAGACAGACTATCGCTCATCACACTAAAAGAATGTGCTGATTTCTTGGTAACGCTTCTTGCGTCTGTATACACAATGTATGATGACTCCCAGAGTAAGACTGAACACCTGCTTTATGCCGCCTTTTGAGCACAGAAGCGAATACCACAGAACAAAGTGTACTAACACAATGAACACAAGACCGGACGAGAACGTACGTATCAATTGTTTTACGGTCGAACACACATTTGGTTAAATAAGAACCGGGAGGCCCGAGGGGTGTGGATTTGTCGGAACAGGCAATAGAAACAATATTTCATGACATAAAAACACAATATTCGGAGTTGTAGGTACGGGTTGCTCCGGCACAAAACATGGTTCCTAGTAGTAGAACAACACATCTGCATCTGAGCAGCTTGATGTTCCGTTCTTGTGCACAGTTACAAAAGATCCAAGCAATTCTCCTCGCACCAGCCAAGTTACAATACATGGACATTTCACCACTCTGCGTTCCGCTTAGTGAATGTACGCACTGTGTATGGGGCAACACGAAATCTGACTGTTGGAGAAGTGTCAGTATTACACCAGTGCAAAAAGGACCCAGCAAATACCGACCTATCGCTTGCACTTCGGTTGCTTTGAAGATTCTGGAGAAAATCAGTTTTGAAACGATGCCGTTACAAATGTGTTCTAATGACCGCCTTCCGTTGGCCTATTGTACTTCGAAATCTATCCTAGATGCAGCGACCTGCCTCGCACATTCTGTAATGTTATCGCTTGACAAGGGAAACAATCCAACTCGGTTGTCTAAGCCGTGAAGTGCTACTAAAAGTTCTAATCATTCAAGGAATATACATCCATCCAACATGCATTTGCTGAGTGATTAGTTTTCTGGACGCAATCAGATTATCCGATTCAGGGGAGGATGCGCTTCCCCACTAATCATCAACTCTGGCACTTCAAGGAGTAATACTGGTGCTAGTTTTATTCCTACGTCGGTTCAATACTAGCTGCTGTAGAAGCGACCCTCTTAGAGTATGCTGACGGCATCGCCCTGGGTAGTAATGATCTAACCGCCAACTGCTCAGTCAGGCTGCAAGATCTGAACAATATCAATGTTCGGTCCAAAGCTCGTAATCAGTTTCTAAATGTACCAAAGTGTCAGAATATTCCATTATTCCTACAAATAGGAGCTAAATACGAGCATGGACATGCGTAGTGCCTCAAGCTCCATACTGACGGTGATGGACTACATATTTCTACATCAGTAAAGGACCCAGATGTGATAATGAAGTACGATTTATCTAGGACTCTTCATGTAAATGAAACACTCATAAAAGTCAGTTTTTCGTTCTACATCTCGCGACCAAGAGCCTACCCTACCCCATGTGATTTGATTCCTCGCTTAGTCAATGCTTGTGTCTTTCCCCACTGGACGTACTGAGGTCCCTGTGATTTTCCCGGTCTTCTAAGTTAATGTAAGGTCATTAAGACATTTAGCTCGATGTGGCGGCATTCCGATGCCTAGTTTTGTCTACATATTTCTGCGTGCACACACCAGATTTTATAAGAAACTGGCCACAAAGATACTAGGCGATACAAGTAGTTCCCTTCAGGATGCTTTAGCTTAATGTATGTCAATATAGTCTACTAGGCAGTAGTACAAGTTGATGTGTGATCACACACAATCCTACCGTGCGTCGATCACCCCCCTTGGCTATCGTATGTTTTGCCAGACCCTAAGTACGTCGATCTAGATCTAACCAGCTGACTCGCAGTACGACATGGTAATGTTTCGTACTTGATATGTCTCTTACTACATTGCTGAAATTGCGTGTCTTGTAGATGAATACTCACCTGCCAAGGGTGTAGAAAGTAATTCCTTGATTTGACTTGATTCTGTATATTGTCAACCTTTGCTAGTTGTATGTTGACCACTGTTAATTTAACCTATATGACCTGACCACGTGAAGGCTTACCATGCAATGGTCGCTGAACGACTTGTTTGTTCAAATAAAAATGTGTATATAGCGGAATTATGCAATGTGTGAAATTCTCCTGACTCACAACCGCTGCACCTTAGGGGTATGCAGAGATTTGACGGCAAAGAATCCTCTCTGTCTGCATAGATGCGTGTGCATTTTCATCTCGCCTTTCAGTGTTCACATCGTACAACGTGTCCCCACAGATGCGCGTCCACGAATTCACCTTGACCGGTTTTGTCTTGCCTACCTACACAGGCATGCATCACGCATCACATTTTGTACAGGCCGTAATCAAGCGTTTGTTTGTCTACCTGTTGATTAAGCAGTTCTAAACTAACCTGTTTTGTTACATTTTTGGTAAGAAGTAGAGATAGCTTGAGTTTTCCAAAAAATGATTTTGGCATTGAGGAAACCACACTGTGTTTTGATGTATCATAAAACTGCATGGTTTGGCTGTGTTTTCCAGTATGTAAGAGCTCATCTAATATATTCAAAACAGGGTTTATGCAAGAACATCTTTTATATTGTTCTACTCACAACGGGAAAAGGTACGCGAAGCTTTTGCATAAAACGTTCGTATGTTCACCACTTCTCTACGCTGACCACTGCGGTCCAGTTCCTTAAGTGGTCAATTTGAGGGTTTTTTCCTGCATATGATGACACCAACTCACCTCAGCAAGTTAAACGATAAGAAATCCTCTGTCCTCCGTGCCGACTGT